TTTTTTTTTTTTTTTTTCCTTGGGTGATCCTGGACTGACTAGTCTTTAGAAACTGATTCCAAAGTCGTCTTTTTGATTTGCTCTTGCTGCATTTTCCCTGTATTTCTATTAGTTGGACATCTTGACCTGGCTGTTGCAACACTGAGCTCAGAACCATCCATTCTGTGGGACTTATTTGGTTTTTCTTTTACTTGGTGCCAGTTTTGTTCAAAATCTTTTCTTCCTGAAATAGTTAAATGGCTTCCTAATTTATCTTTCCTTTTATTTGCCATATTGTGCCTTTTTAAAGTTTTTCCCAAAGTATATTCATGTACTTTTCATGCACACTATTTCTGTCAACTACAGATTGCACATATGATGATGGGCCCATAAGATTATAATGAAACTAGAATAGCATTCATAGCCAAAGAGAGAGCAAGAGAAAAGGAGACTGCAGAAGAAAAAGAAAATTTGTAGTTAAGGGTCTGTCAATCTTTTGCAGACCTCAACAAGCTCCTTAAAAAGCTTAGAAATGGGGGTCCCAATGCTGAAAGATTTTCATTAATAAACCATAATGTTCCTGTACATTATCTGGTTATAAACAAATCAGTGATCAAACTAATGAACCAAAGGAGGCAGATAACATGCCTGTAAATCCCAGTACTCTGGGAGCCTTAGGTAGGATTGCAGGTTCAAGCCCAGCCTGGACAACTTGGTATCTTAGCAAGACCCTATCTCAGAATTAAAAATAAAGAGCTGTATAGCTCATGGTGAAGGCCCTGGGTTCAATCTCTTGGCACTGCAAAAAATGGCACAATAAAACAGGAAGCATGCAAGCCACCCTGAATATGTTTCTGAAAAGAGTGACTTCTCAGGCACACTTTTCATGGTGTATTCCAGGAGGCAGGAGATGCCAAGTCTGTGTACCATGTTACTGAGGGGATGAGATGTGTGAGGTAGAAGGTGTTGCAGATAGTGTTGGCCCTGTGTAGGCCTAGGCTAATGTGTAGTCATATCTTAGTTTTCAGCAAAAAGGCATGAGTTGTTAAACATGAAAAGGTTATAAAGATACAGAAAAATATTTTGTGTTCACTATGCTTTTAAGCTAAGTGTTAATTACAAAGGGTCAAAAGGACTGATAACAGTAACCTAAGTTTATTAATCATAGTCTTAGTTACTTTTCTCGTTTGTAGGACAAAATACCCAATAGCCACAAGTTAAAGGAGGAAACATTTATTTGTTTCCAATCCAAGGTAGGGCTTAGTGGCAGAGGAGAAATAGATCATGGCTGACCAGGCAGGCAGTGAAATGGCAGCTTTGCCACCCCTTTTGTCCCTTGTAGGCAACAAGCCTATTTGGTGGTGCTGCCCATACCCAGGGGTCTCCCACTAACCACACCCAGAGCCTTGTTAAAGCAATCAGTGGACTGACCCAGTTCTCACCCTTAATCCATGTTCACAATTCCCAGCCATGATCCAGCCACTCCCCAAATCCCCACCTGGGAGCACATGAGACTTTGGGTGAACATTTTAAAATGGACTCCCGGGCTGGGCATGGTGGTGCACGCCTGTAATCCCAGCACTCGAGGCTGAGGCGGGAGGATCACTGAGTTCGAGACCAGGCTGGACCTACATGGTGTGTTCCAGATCAGTCTCAACTACATAGTGAGGCCCTGTCTCAAAAAAAAAAAAAGAAAAAACAAAATGAAATGGACTCATGGTCACTTTACCAGGGATCAAACTCAGAACCTTGTTTGTGAGGCAGGCAGTGGAACCACTTAGCTAAATCCCTGGCCCATGGGGGAACATTTTAGATAGAAATCATAATGAAGAAAAGATACATATTTTTAGAAATAAATTTCATTTTATTTTTTACCTTTCCCCCTCAATTCCCCCTCCTCCCTATGTACAAAAGCTTTCTATTTTTCCTTCTATTTTCACTTTTTTCTTGTCCTTTTTTCCATTGTTTCCCTTCCCATTTGAATACTTTCTTCCCATTTCCCAATATCTGTTACACGTTTACTCCTTATTTGCACTTTCAGTTTCTCATACCAGAGAAACAATGCGGTATTTTTACTTGAGCATCAACTCAAGGTCCATCTATTTAGCTGTAAATGTCTGAAGCTCGTCCTGTTTTTTTTTTCAGTTCAATTTTTATAGACCATCTACATTTATAAATTAATTTCTTCTAGATTTTCCATTTCATTAGTATATACTTTTCAACATATTCCATAATGATCCTATATATTTCAGTTCAGTCAGTTGTAACATCCCTATTTAGCCTATATTTTTACTTGTTTGAGTCTTAGTCTTTTGGCTAGTTTGGTTAAGAGCTTGTCAGCTTTGGTTTTGTTTATTCTTTTAGCCTCTTTTCATCTATTTGGGGTTTTTTTTGGTACCGGGGATTGAACTCGGATCCTTATGCTTAGAAGGAAGACGGTGGAACCTGTGAGCTAAATCCCCGGCTCTCATCTATTTGTTTCTGATCTCTTATTTATTTATTTTTTTTTCTGAAGCTCATCCTTTATGGCAGAGTAGTGCTCCATTGTATAAAAAAGAACCACATCTTTTGTATCCACTCATCATTTGATGGGCATTTGGGCTGTTTCCAAAATTTAGCTATTACAGACTGCTGCTAAAAACATGGGTGCTCGTATGTTGCTGTGGTATGAAGTTTTTAATTCAGGAAGATACCAAGAAGAGTTATAGCTAGGTCAAATGAAACCTCTAGTTTGAGTTCTTTGAGAAATCTCCATACTGATTTCCACAGTGATTGCCCCAGTCTGCACTCCCACCGACAGTGGAGAAGGTTCCTTCCTCCCACAGTCCCTCCAACATTTGTTATTGTGTGATTTCTTGATGGCAGCCATTCTTTCTGGAATGAGGTGGAATCTCAGTTTTTTAATTGGTATTTCTCAAATGACCAGTGCTGTTAAACACTTTTATATATTAGCTGTTTCTAATTCTTCATCTGAGAAGTGTCTTTTTATTTCAGATGCCCATTTTTCCATTGGGTCTTTAAATTTAGGGGGGTTCTGTTTTTTTTCCTCTATATTCTTGATAAAAGTGCTTTATCAGAATAACTGGTAAAATTTTCCCCCCTCTGGGTTAAGAAAATATATTTTTGGCAAGTTTATTAGAGTAGCCTGAGTATTCAGTGTTTTTTTTTAAGCTTGTAGGAATGACCTGGGTCTTTACTCTTCCCACTCAGTCAGCAACTCATTCAGAGCCATTTCTAGTCCTCCAAGCTCCACGGCAAGTGCACTATACAGTGTGTCATTTTCTTTTTGTTTTGATCTTATGCATTTTGGTTTTTTTTTTTTTTTTTTTTTTTTTGGTACCGGGGATTGAACTCGGGTCCTTGTGCTTGCAAGGCAGGCCACCGAACCACTGAGCTAGATCTCCGGCCTTGGCCTTTTTGGGAACAGGGGTCTGTTGTAGTTCAGAGTGGCCTTGAACTCACTATGTACCTCAGGCTGGCCTCAAACTCCTGATGATCCTCCTGCCTCAACATCCCAAGTGCTGGAATTACATGTTTTTGCCACCTCTCCCATCTCTTCTTTTGTACCATATTTTTATTGTACCTCTTCTAAATTTAGATCTGCTTAGGTACACAAATACTTAATACTATACTAGAGTTGCCTACCATGCTGCATAGGTTAGTAGCCCAGAGGAATGGGCTCTACCAAGTACTGGCTTTTTTTTTTTTTTTTTTTTTTTTTTTTTGTTTTTTTGTTTTTTTGTTTTTTTTGTTTTTTGCTTTTTTGAGACAGGGTCTCACTATGTAGTTGAGACTGACCTGGAACTCACTATGTAGCCCAGGCTGGTCTCAAATTCACAGCGATCCTCCTGCCTCAGCCTCCTGAGTGCTGGGATTACAGCACCACCACGCCCGGCTATACCAAGTACTGTTAAGTGTGCTATAGGCTCTTCCTGTACAGGTTTATTGAATAATGACAAAATCACATAATTCCATATTTCTTTTTTCTTTTTTTTGTTTGGTACTGGGGATCGAACTTGGGTCCTTTTGCTTGCGAGGCAGGCAGCGGAACCACTGAGCTAAATCCCCTGACCCATATTTCGTAGAATATGTCACCAGCATTAACTGATGTGTGACTACTATCCATACTTCCATGAAGACCTACTATAAATTAGCTTAGGTTCTCAAATGTGTCTCTTCAAAAGTACCAGTTCTTTCCTACATCCGTTTTTTTTTTCCTGGTACAGGGAATGGAACTCAAGACCTTGAACTTGCCAGGCAGGTATGGTACCACCAGTAAGCTAAATCCCCTTCTTTTTTTTTTTTTTTTTTTTTTTTTTTGGTACCAGGGTTGAACTCAGGGCCTTGCACTTGCAAGGCAGGTGCTTTTGCTTTCTTTTAGCACTTCCTCCTCTTGGAACCTTTCTTTTTTGTTTTGCAGTGCTAGGGATCAAACTCGAAGCTTCCCAACATTTTAGGCATGTCTGTACCCTGGGCTGTGTCTCTAGTCCGCCTCTGTGCTTTTTCTAGAGTATAAATACTCAATCCCATCTTACAGTGCCTAGCAGGAGACAGCTTACGATTAGATTATCTTAGATATCTTAGGGTTATGTATGGAGTTCCCTATTTCTTCACCAAAAAGTGAGAATAATTGCTGTATGACAAAATATAACATTTATAGTATTTGTTTACTTACTACATTGTGTTTTGGGGGGTACCGGGGATCCTATACTGGTGAGGCAGGCCCAGCACTGCTGAGCTAAATCTCCAGCTCCTTGTTAGGTTGTAAGTCCCTAATGAGAAAGGGACATTCTTTTTGAGTTACCAATAAATAGCATTGGTTTTCAAACCCTTCCACTGTGATTTGCAACATACAACTTTTATATGTATAGTTCCTATCATGGAAATACGTAGAGATTACAAGTTTGGGCGTGAAAATCTCCCGAACATTGCCTGTAACTCACTTTCTCCCTCAAGGGATAGTTGGATGAAGGTGATTGAGATTAATGTAGAAATAACTTTCATTCTGCCCTAAATCATTCATTCACGGCTGCCTTTTGTGGCAGTGTTGAGACCACAATAAGTTAGAACATCAAATTTGAGGACTGTTTAATATATAAAATATTTAATAGACAACATTAAATGTAGGGCTAAACTTTTAATAACTCACTGTAGACTTCAAAGTGTTTCCATAATGGTAAGAGTGGGTGGGTTGTTTTACTTAGTCATAAAACGATAGTTTATAAAATCCACTTCTTTTCCCCCACTTCTCTTTTAGGGCACTGTGAATTGGACTGTCGATGACATTGTCAAAGGCATAAATAGCAATAATCTAGAAGGCCAGCTCCAAGCTACTCAAGCTGCCAGGTAAGTTGTGGATGCTGTAGTTTGGGTAACCTAAGAAACTAGTTTTTAGATGTTTTTAGCCGCAAAGGACAGATGGCAGATGTATAGGGAAAGTTTTTCATCAGCTGTAGGCCTAGAACTTGTGGTGATGATCTTGGCTCCCAAGTGCTGGGATTACAGGCGTGTGCTGCCACCATGCCTGGCTTGAATTTTCCTTAACTGAAACTATGAAGTTTTTGTCAAAGGGTCTCACTATGTAGTTCTGGCTGGTCTTAAATTCACTGTGTCACCCAGGATGGCCTTGAATTCCTTCCTGGTAATCCTCCTGTCCAGCCTCTCAGTGCTGGGTTTACGGGTGCACACCGTCACGCCCACCACCACTCATGGTTTCACAGTGCATTTCAAGTCAAGGTACATAGTGGAGCCAGGCGTTTAGCTCAGTGGCGCTGCACCTGCTCACAAGCACAAGATCCTGAGTTGGATCCTCAGTACCAAGAGAAAAAGCATACAGTAGATTTTTGCAGATAGAGAAGAGTAATTTAAGTTACATTTTTGGAAAATGGTAGTAAGGTATACCACACGTGTAGCACTATAAAAGTAAATCAGTTTCTCTTAAGTTTCAGGATGTGTCAGCATTTAGTGATTCACTTAAGATGTTCTAAATTTGAGAATTCCCATTTTGAAACACTTCTTTTGTTAACACTTCTTGTTTCCCCTCTAGGAAAATGCTTTCTCGGGAAAAACAGCCCCCCATTGACCACATAATCCGGGCTGGATTGATTCCAAAATTTGTGTCCTTCTTGGGCAGAACTGATTGTTGTCCCATTCAGTTTGAGTCTGCTTGGGCGCTCACCAACATTGCTTCCGGGTCATCAGAGCAGACCAAAGCCGTGGTGGAGGGAGGTGCTATCCCAGCACTCATTGCTCTCTTGGCGTCTCCCCACACTCACATCAGTGAGCAAGCTGTGTGGGCTCTGGGAAACATTGCAGGTACTTGCACTTACAATTCTTTTGACTGAATGTATCTAATAGTGGGGTGGGGTAGAAGAAGAGCCATGGTATTAAGTAATTAATGGTCACCATTGCGTCACATTTTGGGCTTGCCTCAGGTCCTTAGTCGGGATGAAAGGGGCACCTAAGAATGACAGTGCATTCAGTCACTGAACATGGGTGGTACTGGACAGGTAGATGTGATTGATTTTGCTTTGTGTGTGTGTTTCATGCTGGGGATTGCACCCAGAGCTTTGTGCATGCTAGGAAAATGCTCTGCCACTGAGCTATATCCCCAGGTCCTTAATCTTGCTTCTTTCTCTTCCTTTAGGTGATGGTTCAGTTTTCCGAGACTTGGTTATTAAATATGGTGCAATTGACCCGCTCCTGGCTCTTCTTGCAGTTCCTGATATGTCATCTTTAGCAGTAAGTTACTCACATGAGTCAGATTGCTCATTTGTTTTTTGTGAGACAGGGTCTCACTACGTAATTGAGGCTGGCCTCACACTGCAGTGATCCCCTTGCCAGCCCCCCAAGTGCTGGGATTACAGGTGTGTTGCAGCCCAGCGCTTGCTCACTTCTTTTCCCTAATTTTGATTTCTTCCATTTCCTCAAATGATGGGTGAGACGTCTCATTCCTTTTTTCTCTTCCCTTAGGGTGGTTACTTACGTAATCTTACCTGGACACTTTCAAACCTCTGCCGCAACAAGAATCCTGCACCCCCGCTAGATGCTGTTGAGCAGATTCTTCCTACTTTGGTTCGTCTCCTGCATCACAATGATCTGGAAGTATTAGCAGATACCTGCTGGGCTGTTTCTTACCTTACCGATGGTCCAAATGAACGCATTGAAATGGTTGTAAAAACGGGCGTTGTGCCCCATCTGGTGAAGCTTCTAGGATCAAATGAATTGCCAATTATGGTAAGTTGTTAACCTTTAGACTCCAAGGTACAAAAGTACAGAAAGCATAAATGATAATGTTGAAGAAATAATCCCTATTCCAGGCTGTGATGGGTCGCTTATCAAAACTTTTAGGCTAGATCGCGTTTGAGCAGTGCTGGGGAAAAAGGTAGCTGTCAGCATCAACCTTTTTTTTTTTTCCCCTCTCTCGCAGACTCCCGCACTAAGAGCCATAGGGAATATTGTCACTGGAACAGATGAACAGACTCAGATTGTGATAGATGCAGGAGCACTTGCTGTCTTCCCCAGCCTGCTCACCCACTCCAAAACTAATATTCAGAAGGAAGCTACATGGACAATGTCAAACATCACAGCCGGCCGTCAGGACCAGATACAGCAAGTCGTGAATCACGGACTAGTCCCCTTCCTCGTCAGTGTCCTCTCTAAGGTAACATAGCCTTAGGGTTGCTTAATCAGATGGTTGTTAGTATTCATAGGAAGGCTGTTCTTGACGTAATCATTAAAAGTGTGGGCCAGGGAATTAGCCTGCAAGCACAAGGCCCTGAGCTCGATCCCCAGTACCCAGAAAAAAAGATTGTTGAATGTACAGACATTACTTGCTTAACAACTGAATTAGATCCTGTGGCTGGTTCTTTAAAAGAGGAATTGTATATAGAATGTACATTGTAATATTCAGAACAAAGAATTGGTCAAGGAAAACTGAACTTGACTTTGCCCTTAGTTATATAACTCTTACGTGTAGTACTGTAGTTTGTAACAACAAAATTACTGTAGTGTATTGTACAAGCTTTCAGAAATTACAGTACCACCGTATATATGAGGTATACTGTATCAAAAAACTGACTAAAAAAGATGTTCAGAATTGTATGAAAAACACAGATCATAAGTCCAAACAGTGCACCTTGGTTGTAAGTCTGGACAGTCATTAAACAGATAGGGGTTTTTGTCTTTCTTAAGATTGGTTTTGGCATGTAGTTTAGGCTGTCCTTTTACTGTGTGGTGCAAGCTGGCTTTGAACTAGTGGCAATCCTCCTGCCTCAGCCTCTCTCCTAGGCTAGGATTACAGGCATGTGCCACCACGCCCAGGTAATATAAATAGGTAGGTTGTTAGGTGAGCAATGTTGTGTGCATTGTCTACTAACCTAGTCCTTGGCCAAGTAAGGCTGGTTTCACAAGGCTGGGAGAACGAGTTGGTAGTTGTCGTTGCTTTTGTGATAATAGTACCTTTGACATCTTCCTTGTATGACTGTTCTGAAAGGAAACCATCTTATGTTTATTAGGCAGACTTTAAGACACAAAAGGAAGCTGTGTGGGCTGTGACCAACTATACAAGTGGTGGGACAGTTGAACAGATTGTATATCTTGTTCATTGTGGTATAATAGAACCATTGATGAACCTCTTAACTGCGAAAGACGCGAAAATCATTCTGGTTATTCTGGATGCCATTTCAAATATCTTCCAGGTAAGTCCTAACAAGGTGGTGTTTGTTTTGTTTTTATACCAGGGATCGAACTCAGGCCCTTGCGTTTGAGACAGGTGCCAGAACCACTGAGCCAAATCCCCAGCCCTCAAGGTGGTGTTTGGATTTGGGCTTGATGTCACTCAGTTTACTATTTAGGCCGGGGAGATGGCAGCGGAGTTTGCTCACTCCTAGGCCACAGAGTCAGAAAACCTGTTCGGGCCCACGGTTGTTTTTCGGTTTTTCTTTGAGACACTCTCGTTGCCTGTGCTAGTCTTCAGTCCTGGGCTCAAGTGATCCTGCTGCCTCAGCCTCCTGAGTACTGGGGACTCTAGGTATGTAGGTCTGTGACTCTGTGCCCAGGTGGACCTCACTTGATAAAACATGGCGGGGATTATGAGAGTGAAGGAGATGAGTGGATGATGAGTCGAGTTCTGTAAGTGGTTATCTATCCTTAATTATTTTGTTAGTTATCCTCCCAAATTTAATACCAGATTTGATTGAAATGAAATTCAAACGACTTGGTGTTTTTTCTTGGTTCCATATTTGGTCTGTACGAGCGTGCCGGCCCCCCGTCACAGTGATTTAGGTTAGCCTGCCTATCATCAGCTTCTACACTTGTGATGCTGGGGATTTTGACCTACATAGTTGAGTAAAGAATAGTGCCCGGAAGTAATTTGCCAGTTTGTGTCTGGTTTTGCCGCTCTTCATCTAAACCCCCTATGTTATTTTTTCAAGCAAATCATGTTTATGTGTTCTAAACATTGAGGACTTTAAAAGTCTAGTCTTGGTGTCATTGTCATACCTAATAAATTTTCAGTAATATAAACTGCAGGGAAATTTGTTTTTAGCACACTGCCAATTGTATTTGACTTTAGGCAGCGGTTCTTCACCTTGACTGCACTTTGAGATTGTCTACTACGGTACTTTCACAAAATTTTACAAAATTCCTCGTCTTAACGCAGACCGTTGCACCTGAATGTGGTTACTTGATTGATTGATTTTTGTGCCAGGGATTGTACTCGGGTCCTTGCACTTTGGAAGCCGGCAGTGTGAATGTGGTTACTTTAGAAGTAGGTGAATACTTTGCTGGCGGGGGAGATGCCATTCCATGGTTACAAAGGTGGTTTTCTTCAGGTATGTGGTTGTGGAGGACTATTCTCCTGAGGGGAAGGTTGTGCAGAGTTTTTAATTTCTTTTTTGTGGTACTAGGGTGTAAAACCAGGCGCTTTACATGCCAGGCAAATGCTGTACCATCAAGTGCTACATCCCAGCCCTGCTCAGGTGCTTGTGGTGCAGGGAAATGGTAGAAAAGCACAGTGAGATGTGTTCGGCTGAAAGCCATAGTAAAAAGGTTAGGCTGGGGATTTAGCCTAGGGCTGCAGCTGCCTGCCTCACAAGTGCAAGGGCCTGAGTTTGATCCTGCTACCAAAAGTAGTTGCTAGGAGAGAGGAGCAGGGTTAATCACCTTGAAAATTTCAAGAACACGTAAAATAATTTAGGATTCCTATTGAAATTGTTTTGTGGACTTTTTCCCCTCCGTCGGTCGTGCATGTAGTTGAGCTGGACTTGAACTCACTTTGTATCCCAGGCTGGCCTGGAGTCTCACCACGGCCTTCTGATTGCCGGAATTACAGGCACGTACCTCCTCTCCTGGCCAAATGTTTATTTCTGTCTGATACATATTACTACTCACACATGGGTTTTATCTTTTTTGTTAAAATAGGAAAATTCTAAGTATAGGCAGTGAACTTGGAATTACTTTTTTTTTAGGCTGCTGAGAAACTAGGTGAAACTGAGAAGCTTAGTATAATGATTGAAGAATGTGGAGGCTTGGACAAAATCGAAGCTCTACAGAACCATGAAAATGAGTCTGTGTACAAGGCCTCATTAAACTTGATTGAGAAGTATTTCTCAGTAGAGGTAAGTAATAGACTTACTGTATTTATTTTCTTCTCTGACCATTTTTATTTTATTTTGGGGCGTCTTTTTTTTGTTTTGGTTTTGTTTTTTTTTTTGTTTTTTGAGACAGGGTCTCACTATGTCGTTGAGACTGACCTGGAACTCACTTGTACCCCAGACTGGTCTCGAACTCACAGTGATCCTCCTGCCTCAGCCTCCCCTCCCGAGAGTGCTGGGATTACAGGCATATGCCACCATGCCCAGCTTCTGATCAGTTTTAAATCACCAATTTACTTCCAAGTGAATACCCTTGGTTATCTTGAACAGCCTTAGAAATCATTATTTTGGGCTGGGGATTTAGCTCAGAGGTGCTGCACCTGCCTCACAGAAAAAGCAAGGTCCTGAGCTCAATCCCCAGTACCGGGGTTGGGGAGGAATCAGTATCTTGACTAAGTTTTTCATTGTAAGGAGTTGATGGGGAAAGGAACCGATCCCCAGGACCATACTCGTGCTAATAAGCAGTTTTTGTTTTCCTGCTGAAAAGTGACAGGAGACTCAGGCATTTGTGAATTGTCCAAGTTTTAGCAGCCCGCTCTTCCTTCTGTGCAATACCAGAGTATGGCTCAGGATTACAGGGGAAATATGCAAATGAACCTAAGAACACGGGCAGCCTTCTGGTCCAGCTGCTGCTTAGAAACGTTCCTTATTTGTGGTTATATGGTTGTTTCTTTAATATTTCCAGGAAGAAGAAGATCAGAATGTTGTGCCAGAAACTACCTCTGAAGGTTATACCTTCCAAATTCAAGATGGGACTTCTGGTACCTTTAACTTCTAGATTGTGCACCTGAGGAAGACATCACATTTTTGTTGTGTACTATGTTCAGTATAAGTTCGTCTTCTGTATCTCTACTAAGAACTCTTTTTAAATGTGGTCTGTTATTGTAGCACTTTGTACAACAAAACTATACTTGAACAGTTCCAAACTGTACATACTGTATGAAGCTTATCCTCTCTGAAGGGGTTTCTTATTTCTGTGTGGAATTTCATATTTTGCAGTGTACTGTAAATAAAGATTAAATTCCACCCTTTGCTTTACCGTGCCTGTTTGTTGCCTTCTAACTTTGGGCTCATTGTAGATTGAGGTCACTGACTAGGAGTCTTGATGTTGTCAAGGATACAGGGCTGACAACTTCTGTCTTGCCAGATTTTTTTTTTTTCTTGCCAGATTCTGAACCTCCTGGTTTTGGTTTAGGCTACTTTCCTACTAAGTAGTAATGGCTGCTGGCATTTACAGACTTTACATTGTCTTCACACTAAAGTCTTCACAGAGGACGTCATTATCTCCCTAAGTCCCACATCTCCCTAAGTCCCACGGACCAGGAAGATGGGCAGTGATTCATCCAGGCTGGGTATAAGTAGTGCAACCCTGTAATCCTAACACTCAGGAGGCTGAGGCAGGAGAATCTCTGAGAGTTCAAGCCTGGGCTATACATAGAACCTGTCTCGATGAAAAAACAAAATGTTAACTACAATAGCCCATAATCCTTACGTAAAACTGTGAATCTTTACTATGATCAGTTTGTATTCATTGATGAATGGAAAAATGAGCCCACCCTCCAATGCCCATGTGTGGCACCTTTGTCTGCCATGTTACCCTAGAAGCTGGGGTAGGTAGAGGTGAAGTGGGTAGAAGCCTAAAGTTAAAGCTGATTCAGGCTGGCCTTGAATTTGTGGTGATCCTCCAGCCTCAGCCTCCCAAGTGCTGGGATTACAGGCATGCGCCACCACGCCCAGCAGCGGTGTTAATGCAACATGTCCACTAATTACTTTCTCTTGGCTGCAAATTTGAGGATATTGTCCCCGTAGTTCATCAGTGTGCACAAAATTACATTTTGCCTTTTTTAGGTAACAGTTCTATTTTATTCCCATGGAGCATATTTACTTACCTTGTTTGGGTGTGGAACCCAAGAATGCTGGCAGATTTGAACACTTCTCCAGCCGAGTTCCTAACATGGAACACCAGACCTCCGTGTTCAGCTTTTCTGCACAAAGGTCCCCTTGAAGGGAGAAGTGACAGAACTGCTGCAGTCTGTCCTCCCTTCGGAAACTTTCCCCAGCTGATGCCCTTGGATGCAGGACCCACAAGTCTTCAACTTGAGAAAAGGAAAGGTGATAATTTCCTTGGAGTTCAAAATGCAACGAAGCGTTTCGATGTTTTACCTTCGATGTTTTACCTCTGGGGGCCAAGTTTTTTCTTTGATAATGACTTTTATATTCATTTAATTTTAAATGACAACCACCAACTTTTCCCTTCACAAAGTCATGTCTAAACTGCTAGTGCTTTATTAACATGCTAATTTTTAAATTTTTCTAGTATTAAATCTCTTGTTGCCTGTAAGTTTTTTTTGTTATTTTTTTTTAGATAGGGTCTCATATAGTTCAGGCTGGCCTTGAACTTGTGATCCTCCTGCCTCAGCCTCCCGAGTGCTAGAGTTACAGGTGTGCAGCACCACACCTGGCTAACTTTAATTTTTGTAACATGATTTTTTTTTTTTGGTACTGGGGATTGAACTCAGGACTGTACGTTTGTGAAGCAGGTGGCGGAACCACTGAGCTAGATCCCCCGACCCTAATTTTTGTATTATTACAATAAGTAAGGGAGAGGGGAAGGTAACACTTAAATTTCATGAGGCATTGAACATAAGAAATGTAATACTTTGGATTTTTGTAATTGTCCAGTGGGTCAGTAGTACTGCTTGCTTGGTGAGTTGAGGCCTGATACTGTATTGTAGCTTTGCTTAGTACCAAGCTACTCTAGTATTTGAACAGATAAATCCTTGCCTAAGGGTCCCCCCTATCCTACCCACCCTCAAGCTTTTCTGTGGCTGCATCATCACTTGAAGGGATTAAAATCTTGAAATTTCTTGTTATTGTAACTTCTTAATTATTAAAAGCATTTTTACCGCAGACTTTGGCCGCTTTAGCCCCCTTCCCCCTTGGTAGCTCCTCAGAACCAAGGCAGAGCCAGAACTGCCTTCACCGCAGTGGTGCCTTCCTTTCCGTCCCTCGGGAGTGTGGGTAGCGGAGGCTGCTGGGGGAAGCAGTGCTGGCGACTTCCCTCCCTCCCTCCTTCTGCCCTTGCTGAAGCTTGCAAAGTCCGGCGGGCTGATTTTGGAAAGCCTTGAAACGTGTTGTTAATGGTGCTTTCTTTTTGCAGAGGGGCTGCTGACCTAATTTGTGATGAACAGAACCTGGCCAATTGTGCAGCACCTTGACCGCCGCCGCAAGGCAAAGTGTTAGTGGAGAGTGTTTTAGCAACATCGCCAACTGAAGTTTCGTAACCTCAGCTCATAAAGATGATAAAAAACACCCAAGCTACCAAGTAAGGTTTTCTGAGGGGAGAAGTAGAATTTAATTTTGAGCATTTCTATGTTAAATGGCATGTTGTTGGCACAATTTGAAAGCATAATTTCTGGTCTCTAAACACCCAGTTTCTCCTAAATATTTGGGACAGTTTCATAACACTGTGTAGGAGTCGGATGTATCAAGCTCTGTCAAACTGATCAGTTCATGCTTTCCTCCCTGGCCTTTTGCAGTCATAATTTCTTTACCCACCCTAGTTCAGGGAGGTGATGTGGTACCTAGGAGTGGACTGGTGTTACGAACCAGATCTGCCTGAGTTCAAATCTGTTCTCTTCCAAAGCCAGGCATAGTGGTGCACGCCTGTAATCCTAGCACTCTCGGGAGGCTGAGGCAGGAGGATCGCTGTGAGTTGAGACCAGCCTGGACTACAGTGAGTTTCAGGTCAGTCTCAACTACACAGTGAGACCCTGTCCCAAAAAACCAAAAAAATAAGAAATAAATAAAATACAACAAATTCTGTCTCTTCCATAGGTCAATGAGTGACCTTGAGCAGTTAAAACCAAATAATGGATGGTGTAAAAGTCACACATGTTGATGGCTAGATGATATAAAATATCCCAGATAAATTTTACAGATGTTCCCGACCTTTTACCAGAAAAGATTTTCATTCTTCCATAGACCCCCTACTTCAGCCAGGTGTGACACACACCTGTTATCTCAGCACCTCAGAGGCTGAGGCAGGAGGATTGCCACCAGTTCAAGACCAGCCTAGGCTATGTAGGGAGTTCAAGGCCAGCCTGAAATACAAAGCGAGCCCTGTCTCAAAGAAAACCCAAAACAAAAAATACTAAAACAAAACACAAACAGACCCCTATTTTAATATACTTGACCCAGTAATCTATGTACGTTTTTCTTTTTTTCCTTATCAATAACAGATTAAAATCAAACTAGGTGCTGGGAGTGTAGCTCAGTGGTAGAGGACTTGCCTGGCATGCTCAGGACCCTGGATTTGACCCTCCAGCATTGTTTCTGTACTAACTGGTAGGGTTCTACCCGAATTCTGAGTGGTTTTTCAGACTTTAGGCCTTTAGCTTGACGTAGCTTTCGGAAGAGTGGACCAAGACTGAGTAAGCCCCGCCAAGACGGTGTCTGTGGAGTCGCCGTTGGCCTTTGCAGCTTTCCTAGTGAGAGCTCCGAGCCCACTGTTTGCCCGTCCTTGCGTTCTACCAGACAGGAGAGCGAGCATCTCATCGGCCTCCTCTCTCGCTGGCCATGAGGACAGTCACCTGGGCCATTCGCGCCTCCCCGGGAAGGGACTTAGACCCAGCTGCCAGGCTCTTCCTAGTGCTGAGGCAGCAACGACAAAACTGTGTCTTCCAGTCCGGAGAAGCCTTTTAGAACTCGAACAGGTTCAGGCAGAAATGCCGGAAACATCCATAAAAACAAAGGAGGATGAGGACGGATGGCGTGAGTACAAAAACTCTGCCTTCAATGAGAGGTCGAGGTAGCTGTGACTATAACTGCAAAACGTACCATTCTTTAGCAAAACTTTCGGAATGCAGAAGAAATGTTGGAAAACTAAAGAAATGAAAAGTTTTAACCCTTTGGTTTAGGCCAGGTTTCAGGGGACCAGCGACACAGAGATTGTGTTCCTACCTGTTCTCAACCTATGTCCTGCTCATTCAGAGCAGTTGTTAACTTAGACAACTGGAAGCAGGCTCCCAGGTAAGGAACAGAGATAATGCTGATATTAAAAAATTTGAAAAACAGCCGGGTGTGGTGGCGCACGCCTATAATCCCAGCACTCAGGAGGCTGAGGCAGGAGGATTGCCGGGAGTGTGAGGCCAGCCTGAGTTACATAGTTCAGGGCCAGCCTGAACTATAAAGGGAGACCTTGCCTCAAAAAAGAGAAAGAAAAACAATATTGGAAAGATTAAAATAATAATCTGGGTGTGGGGGTATAGCCCAGTGGTAAAACACTTGCCTATCAGGCAGGATGCCCAGTGCCTTGGAGTCAGTCCCCAGCATCAGTAATAACAAATGAAGTTCCCACTATTGGGTTATACAGTTTGGCACAGACGGGAATTCTTAACCTCAGAAACTCGAGACCTAAAATAGGTCACGGAGCCCAGGAACCTCTGAAACTATGCAAACTAAATATATGTGTGTGTACTTTTCTAAGAAAGAGGCTCAGCTCGGCAGGATGAAAACTAGGTTTCCAAAGGTATAGTTTCCTTCAAACTATTGAGAGCTTCTAGATTCTTATATTTTCTACACATTAAAATATATTTATTTTTTTCCCAGTACCGGGGAATGAACTCAGGACCTTGCTCTTGCAAGGCAGGTGAGATGCTGCTGAGCTAAATCTCCGGCCCTGTAAAGTATTATGTCATCATCTGAGCTTGCTTCATACAGACAGAAGTTTCATTCTTTTTTTTTTTTTTTTTTTTTTTTTTTTTTTTTTTTTTGGTACCACAGATAGAACTCGGGTCCTTGCACTTGTGAGGAAGGCAGCAGAACCACTGAGCTAAATCCCAGGCCCAGTAGTTTCATTCTGACCAATGAGCTTTGCTGTAATTTGGCTAAATTCTAATTGAACAAGAGTTTTAATTGTCCCTAAAAGATGACACTTGCTTGACATTGCTACAGTTTTTCTTGTTATTTTGTTTTAT